ATTTCTATAATAATATCTTTAGTAATAATATAAGTTATTATATAAAATAAGAGGTTTATTTTAAAAATAAAAATAGTAATTAATTTTTTTAATTTATTAAAATTATTTTTAAATAGCTTTTTTTTATTTTAATTTTTATTATTTTTAAATTTAAAAGTATTAAAGTTCTTTATAATAAACTACTTCTTATAAACTATTTTAATATAAAGTTTAAAATATTTTAGTTTATTAATTTTAAAATAAACTTAAGTTACTTTTTTAAAGTTTATATAAACTTTTTTATTTATAAAAATAAACTTAAAATAATTATAAATAAATAAAATTTATTTATAATTTCTTCTATATATAATATAAAACTAATTTATTTTATAAAAACCTTTCTAAAATAAAATTACTAAAAATTATATTATTAAATTATTTAATTAATATTATAAAAACTTTATTAATATAACTTTTTAAATAAATATTTATTATATTTTTATAAAAAAGGTTTTTAAATATATTAATATATTAACTTATATTTTAAATCTTAATATTAAAATATTTTTATTTACTAATATTAATAAACTTTAGATTAATTTAAAATAGAGTAAAATAATATTAAATTACTTAAAAGAAGGTTCTTAATATAAAACTTTTTTATATTTCTAATAACTTATATTAAGAAACTTTAAAAAATATATTTTAAAAGTTTTTAATCTAAATATTAAAATTAATAATAAAACTTATTTAATTTAAAACTATAATATATTTTTTATAAATTATAATAAAATTAGTTAAGTTATTTAAAGTATAATATTACTTTAGAATATATATTAAAATATAAAAAATATAATTTTTATTTAAAAAGTTTTATTTAAATAAATATAAATTTTTTTTTTAAAATAATATCTTTAACTTATTTATTTAAAACTTTATATATTTACTCTTTTTATATATATTTTATTTTATAAACTATATATATAGTAAAATATAAAATATAAAGTTTAAAAACTTTTATAAATCTTTTTATAAGAAAAATAAATATAACTAATATTAATAGTAATAAGTTATTAATAATTATTTTAAACTTTTTTTTTCTAAAGCTTTTATTTTTAGTAATATTACTTTTTATAATAGTTTCTTAAGTATTTAAAATATTAAAAATATATAAAATAATAATTTTATTATAAACTTCTTATTTTATTTTATAATATTTATATTACTTTTTATTTTCTTTCTAAATTTAGTTATTAAATAAAAATATATTTTTAATTTTATTTAAATTAAAAGAAATATTAAAAATATTATTTAAGTTAATATATTTCTAAATATTTCTAATTTTTATTTCTATTTAAAAAGTAATATATTAAACTAAAAAATTATAATAAGAAATAAATCTATAGAAAATATTTAAATTACTAATTATTATTATATTAAAAATATATTATAAATTAAAAATAATTATAGAAATAAAGTTTTAAAATTAAAATAGAATATAATAAATATAAAATAAATTAAATAAAATTATAATTTATTTTATAAATAATAATTTAAAAATATAATATAAATTAAATTTATAACTATTATAAACTAACTATAATATATATATAATATTTATATAAATAAAATAGTTTAATTCTTTTTAAATTAGAGTTTAATATAAAAAGTTTTTTAAAAAGTAGATCTTAATATACTAGAATATTATTAATCTAAATAAGTAAGTTAGAAGTAAGTTACCTTATACTTTCCTCTAAGCGTAAAGCTACCTCAGATACTTAAGGGTATCACGATAATAGCACTAGCTAAGAGTATAGTATAACTAGCTCTATTAAACGAAGAGGTTAACTTGAGAAATCTCGAACTATTAAATCGAGTCCAGAAATACCTCGAAATCTCGGAAATGATGATAACTTTCAGTTATTCCTCCTTGCAGCCACGCTGTCCGACATAGAATGACCAGATTGATTAAGAACCTAATTGTGACACCAGCATCAATCAATTCTTCACGCAGCTGTTGGAACTTCTCCAGTTATATGCTCGCATCCAGCTCTATTGTTCCTCAGGGTTCTCGAAGCAAAATCCACCGCCCTGGAGCCTGCATTCACCATTCAGGACTTACCAGGTGGATTTAGAACAATTGGTACTACAGCGGCTGGAACGACTCCATCCCGGGTCATCCGAGGACGAGAATCTGCCACAGGAACAGCGCACCCAGAGTGCCATGTGTTCCCTGATTTGGCACTGCTGTGTTATCTGCTTGAACCGAAACTTTCTTCCAATTCCAAAGAGAACCGGGCCTGACCACGAAAATTCGGAAGCATCTTCCAGACAACTAAACTTTCCAGCTGCACCACAGCTTTTTGTTGAGGAGAGACTGCATCGCTGTCAGGCAAGCGCAGTAGCCATCTGCACCATCTGCAAAGAATTGGTGTGGCAAGGAGACTTCTTTCGGGTGAGTTACATTTCAAGTTGAACTTTGCTGTCGTTTTGCTTCCTTATTAACATGCCTTAACAGAATATTCATGTAGTTGGGTATGCATGTATGCAGAGTGCAATTGTCCTGGTCAATTATCTTCACCGTGCCTCAAGGCCCCATAGTCCTTGGATAGCAGACACCCTGAAGTTCATTTTCGTTGCTTTAGGGGCTGCGAGCAGTTTTTATACTCCCGCGAATGACTGGGTATGTTGAATTACCTGTCACTATGACCCTGCAAGCGCCCTGGAGCTACATTAAAACCTAATCTGATCTAGATTAAAGTCTTGATCCGGGTCCACGATATCAATGTTTCCCTGAAAAAAGTCAGTGGCTCCCCTGTCGAAGATGTTTTCTCAACCTATTTCAGTAGATATGTCGATATTAAGGAGCCGGAGTGGGTGCCGCTTATCCCCAGTAGCGTGTCAAACGCTCAAGGAAGAGTTCGTGAGGACGTCTCATGCGGCCAAGGAAATCATCAATCGCATTCTGATAAAGCTCAGATTCAACCCGGTCACGACTCTCAATGTAAGGAAAATTGGCTTCACAGTTATGCCCGTCATCTTTCGGAGGATATAGAGCCCCATAGGCAGGAGTCCACCCGCTCAGACACAGACGATGGCGATGCATTGGAATTTCACGGTGGAGAGAATACCGGCGATCCCTTTGGGTTGGTGGGAGGCTCATTAGAGTCATCTGAAGCAATTCTGCCGTCTATGTCTCAGACGAGTATGATGAGCCAAAATATGGATGCAGGAAAAGTCTCCCTCGTTGATCCGATAGGTCTTGTCGATTCGCTTACAGATCCTTTCGCTTTTGCCGACCTTTCTGGATACCAGGAAGATTTTGACTCCCGACTGCTAAGACAGCTCATGACAGGGAGCGGCAGTCTATGGGCGGAGATGAACATAGGCCTTAGCAGTGGCAGAAATCCCTTTATGTAGTCATGCTAGGCTCGATCCTAATTTGAGATATGGTCGACATGCAAAAAATTTTCTCAAGAAAAGCCGCATAGGGTGAGGTGATTTGAGACTCGGATGAGATCGGGGGGCATTGACCATGAACGGGTATGGCCCAAGTCAGATGCGAGAGAGGTAGTCAGTCCAGCTCCATTCTATCAGCTATGCAATATATCCGGGATGGTCATCGAAGGCTCTGATTGGACACAGGCAAGCAGACAAGGGTTTCCGCTGGCACAAATGATAACACGCGGGGTATCCGGCTACAGTCCATGCGCAAGACGATAGCTATGAAGATAACATAAATGCGGGGAAGTGAAGGTTGTTCGGAACTGCGACTCGTTCTGATTCCGTTTCCCGTCTACAGGTTCATGCTTGCCACCTCAACATGTCAGCGCTCGAGCTAGTCCACGCCATCTCCGCATCCCCGCCCATCGCAAATCACACATCTAAACGACCCATTCTGTGCTGACACTGGAAGCTTCACAAGCCAACCTTGGTCAGCGGACTTCAGGCAGTGCTCTGTAATCTTCCTTTTCAATGGCGGATGCGCGGAATCTTCCTCCAACGACATTACAAAACGATAGTGGTGCTTGTTGGACATGTTTGAAGCAAAAACGCATATGCGATCTCAGCTTGCCGCGTAAGTGGTTTCCTCACCGTTAACACATTACAACTATACCAACTCACCCTCTTCACGAACCTAGTGGATTGAACGCCGATCGAGTGCTGACATCACCTTTGTGCTCCGTTCTAGGATGCAGGAATTGTGCCGAAAGGGGAATAAGATGTCAAGGCTACGGCATCAGGCCGCGATGGCCCGCAGATTTTATTTGCCGAAAGAAGAAACCACGACGAACATCTGATGGATCCTCGAATACGCGAGGGCTTCCGAGCATGAACTATGATACTCGTCAGACATTACCCCGAAATCAATTCTGCGTGCCTCAAGCTTTGTCATCGCTGGGGCTTCCGTCACAGGATAGTTATTTCATGCAGCATTTTATGAGTACGTGTGAATACCTGAGTTCTTATCTATCACCATCAAGGCTCGCTCGCATGTTCTTGATATGCTGATATATTCGTTTAGAAAACCTCGCTCGCGTCGCGCTGGCTATCGATTACAATGAGAACGGTTATCGCTCTCTGTTACCACTTGCACTTCATGATTCCGGTCTAATGAATGCTGCACTCGCTGTCGCATCCTCACATCACAGTCGTTGGCAGCAAATAAGCGACAAAGATTCGCGCCGATACCTGAGGGCCGCCGCCGCAGCCCTCAAGGGCCGTTTCGGAAATTCGAGTGACCTGAACAGCCCCGTCACTCTCACCATCATGCTGCTTTTAGTGTCGTTTGAGGTAACCAAAAAGATTTGATCACTGTCCCCGTCACATGAATTACGATTATTCGCTGACTTGTCTAAACCTGCCAGGTGTTCTCAGGGACTCCGCGATGGAGAGGACATTTTGACGCCATCCGGGGGTGGATTCGCTCTCGAGGAGATCACTCTGACTTAGACCCGTTCCTAAAGACCTGGGTGTGTCTCATAGAAACCCAGTGTGCTTTGAATGTGGGATTACCGGTTATGCAAGAGGTTGAGTCGTGGATTGATTTATGCCCAAATTCCTCAGATGGAGCGCAGAATGACTCGATCGACGCGTTGTTCGGATGCTCCTCCAGGTTACCCAAGCTGATGGTAAGTCATTTAGACTCCTAAATCAAAGCTCAGGCGCAGCTGATTGAGGTGATAGTGCGCCGCTTCGCAACTACAGAAGGCCGCCTACGATGCTGAAATCCCCCTCGAGGAGATACACAGGCGGTCTGAGAACCTCCAAAAGGCAATTGAAGCAACGAAGATGAAGGATACCTCGAATCCAGTCATTTCAATCCTGTGCGATGGTGCTCGAGAAAAGTACTCGGCCACGGTGGGATTGGAGCAAGAAGAGCTGCGCCGGCGGATGATCGCCACCGCCGAAATATTCAGGCACACGTCACACCTATATGTTTATCGAATTACTTATGGCGTCGAAGAGCCACTCACGTCGGATATGGAGGAGTCTCTTCAGACAGCACTTCAACTTCTGACGCAGGTTCCAGATGCCCTTGGCCCAGGAGCTAACCTAGGTTGGTGTTTGGTGGTGCTTGGGGCGGAGCTTGATCTCCTAGATCAGCGCGACTATATTCGTTCCAGATGGTACAGCATGCACCTACTTGGAATTTACAATACCAAGTCTGGCGAAAAGATACTCGAGGCGGTATGGAATCACCGAGATCTCGTCCGTAGTGGTCTTGCCACACCAGCGAGATGGCAAGATATTATGAAGGACATGGGGGAACATCAAATCTTGGTCTGACTTTTTTCAACGCCAACTTTCGTGTTAACCAAAACAATTGAGCTGTCCAATGCTGTCCAATATTGTACCACTATGCTATCAAAATGCACCATGAGCCGTATGGTGTTCCCCATTCGCGTGGATCTGCATGCTTAGGTTCGAACTTGCCAATTCTCCATCCGGAGAAACATGGCAAGCTTCTAACCTGTGAATGGAATTATATACCCTGTGAACATCCTCATACTGTTTGTTTGCTTGTCTCAAATTTGATTACCTAAGGTGAAGCTACATACGCAGCTGCGGTTGATGTAGCTGACCTACAACTTGGAAGTCTCAGGAATGTTGAAGTATTTGACCGTCTTAGAGTTCAGCCAGCCATCAAGGCTCTCCTCGCCCAAATCTCTCCCAAATCCTGACTGCTTAACACCTCCAAATGGAGTGTTGGCATGCAACATTCCCCAGCAGTTAATGGTAACCTGCCCGGACTCAATGGCCGCTGAAACCCGCTGAGCTATGTTTACATTGTTTGTAAACACCGCAGCACTCAAGCCATAATCGGTATCATTGGCCTTTTGTATTGCCTCCTGTTCGGTGGAGAACTTGGCGATGCTCTGAAGCCCGAATCAGCTTTCGTGTCGTTTCTCCAGCTTATGGGCTGGGATAAAGCACTTACCGGAACTGGTCCGAAAATCTCCTCCTTCATGATCGCCGCAGATTCAGGTACATCAGCAAAAGCGGTGTTGGGAACAAAGTAACCTTTGTGGTCGAGCTTCTCCCCTCCATGAAGTAGCCTCGTTCCATCATTCTTGGCTCCATCGATGTAGCTAAAGATTTTCTTTTGCTGGGATGCATTGATGACTGGCCCTTTGGTTGTCTCCTGAAGAACAGGATCGCCGTGTACGGCGTTGTTGATTCGTTCAGTAAATGCTTGTAGAAACTTGTCGTAAATAGTATCTTGCACATAGATTCGGGATCCAGAGGCACAGATCTGACCATTGTTGGTTGTGCTGCCTAATGATGTCCAGAAGAGCGCATTATCCCAGTCCGCGTCGGAGAAAACAATGGACGGGCCCTTGCCGCCAAGCTCGAGTGTGACTTTCTTGAGGTTGGACTTGGCGGCGGATAGGAGGACGTGTCGGCCGACGGCTGTACTTCCAGTGAAGGATACTTTCTTCACCTTTTGGTGTGCTGACAGCGCTGCTCCTGCGATGGCACCCTCGCCGCACAGAATGTTGATGACGCCAGCGGGGAAGCCTGCCTCCTTGACCAGGCTAGCAAGTTTCTGCCCCCATAGTGGCGCCGCCTCAGGGGTCTTAATGATGAGAGTATTACCCGCGGCTATGGCGGGTCCCAGCTTCCATGAAGTAATCATGCTAGGTGGCAGAGAATCCGCGTCAGCTTGCTTCAAAATATCGGACAGAATACCCGGGACTTACAGAGGACAATTCCATGGCACAATGGCTGCGCACACCCCAATGGGCTCTCGAAGAGTGTAAGCTGTGCCCTCAGGTATTTGCAAAAGCTTTCCATCGATCTTGTCAGTCCAACCAGCAAAATAACGAAGAGTAGACACAGCATTGGGCACGTGCAAGCCTTTCGAGTCGTTGAAAAGGATTCCGGCATCCAGGGCTTCAAGAAGGGCCAGCTCGTCGGCGTGCTGCTCAATCAGGTCTGCCAGCCTGTGTAGAAGCTTTGCGCGCACTGGAGGAAGGGTCGTTTTCCAACCTCCATAGAAGGCGGCTTCAGCAGCTTTCACAGCCAAGTCTACATCTGCCCCCTGAGCAGCGGACAGTGTTGCTAGCTTCTCCAAGTTGAAGGGGTTCTCGATGTCCAATGTTTCGCCCGCCGTAGCTTCGACGAACTCGTTGTTGATAAACAGTCCGCTCTCGACTAATTACCATCTTAATGTAAGCCCAGTTTTTCAATGCTGTGAGAATCCACGGGATAACGTACTTGAAGTGGCCGGACCATTTCCGGCCTTCAATTTTATGATACCCATGTTGTGGAAAATGAACAGCGCCGCTGGAATCGAGGAGTTCTATTACCTGAAGAGAGGCAATACTGATTCCCGTAGGAGGAGCACTTGGCCAAATAAATAAGCTAGACCGCGAAGGGGAAAGCCAGTCAGTGTTGCGAATGAGGGGCTGTCCTTGCCTAATGTGAGATGTCACTTTTAGCAAGCAAAGAATCCCCTCTTCTAGGGATTACCCTCGACGGAACGAGATGCAAGCTCGGAACTTGATTGTCTGGTGTCATTCCGACGGGACATGGGTTCGGAATTCCTCGGCCAGTTCCGCGGACAGGATAATCCTTGTACTTAGTCAGGCGAATTACGAGAAAATCCGGGGAAATCGCAACCCCATTTCTTTGATCTCCGGATACTATGATGGCCTAACACCGCCAGATGCCTTATATCCGTACCACTCGTTTTTTTGAGTTTGTGGGTACGGCGCAGCCCGCCCGTGAAAAGACTGAGAAAATTCTAGTTCGTGGGCACACCTTGGGAAACACTATATAGGCATTAACCCATGCTCTACTCGTCAACGAAAGCAGTAATTAGCCAATCAAGTGCTACATGACGCCAGCATATTGAGTACCCGGAACTCCAAGTCTGGTCTCACCGAATTTTGCAATTCGCTGAGAAAAATTGTCGATCAACAGACACAATATTTGATTCGCTGTGCCACGCATACTCTTATGCTGGCGTCATGCAGCACTTTATGGGATGGATATCGTTTCTGCCAGCAAGAACACCCTCGCGCAAAGTCTAATCGCTGTTCGCGCATAATACCGGCGGAACAGCAACGGCGCCGGCTCCACGTAACGGGGCCGATCGCATCGGAGCCGAACGCCACTTGTTCCTGTGTTACACCGGACCTTTTTCCGGGCCTGCTTGAGGCGCATCGCAAGCTTCCGACCGCCTCACTCGTGAAGAATCAACAATGCCGCAGGATATTTCCCTCAAGAAATGCCATCAAACTTTTGAAATAGACGATGCATCACCTCATGCGTATGGTCTAATGTTCCTTCTACTCTACAAGTATAACAAGCTAAGGCCCAAATGCGCAGCCCATTGCGAGTGGTTAGAAGCCAGTTGCTAGATTATTCAGCGCGCCACAAGTCGGGTTTTTAAGCCCATACTGTGGACTTTTACCCTTCAGAGCCTAGCCCACGCGTTCATAATCCGTTACCAGGATTATATAAAAAGGCTGTTATACCAATAGCTGAAATAGGCTAGATAGGGCCAAGTACTAGCCAAAACGTCCATTTTTTATCATTTTCTGCTTAATTACTAGCATTCTAAAAAGTTCTGCCAGGAACCCCGTTACCAGTACTTGAAGCCCCTGGGTCGCCGCGGGGGGGACTACTAACGGGGGGGCTGAGACCTCTAGAAGTCCTAATAACTGGCAATAAAAGACTGGCAATAGGCTGCGCATCTGGGCCTAAGAGAGTGCTCTTACTGGCCAAATGCTTTAAGCATTCAATCATCGGTACAGGAGGCATCATTATCGGTTTTATTGCCCAGTTTTGAAGTGTTCTAGTAAGAGAAAATCCTTTCTAAAAGAATTCAAGGTATCAACAAACATGCTGCCATTTGGCCTCATAACCAAGGAAGACCATCAGATAAGACGAAAATATCTGCTCCAGGCCCCACAATTAGACGACGAATCACTCACTGTGAGCATTTCGCAGCCATCAGCTTAGTCCCAGTTCATCCCACCGGATGCTCAATAACTCTAGCACACAACATCACCATATTTTCGCTACATCGTGGTATTAAGGATGGGTACAGCCAGGGCCAAGCGCCCTTCCAGCAACCAATGGCTGGATAGGAACGGATCTGATAAGATTACAAGAACATGCTCTGGCAACAGACATGTTCATGCTTGAAGGATCTCCCTGCTTGGTGGCAACTTATCCCATCGGCTGCTAAATGAATGCTGCTATTTCTCTCCAAATTGGGGTCCCGAATGGGTACAGCCAAGGCGGGAACGGCTTTTTTAGCCGTCAGTTGCCACGACGGGAACAGATCTGATAAGATTATGGAAACAAGCCTCGGCAATGATTGCCAGGCCATGACTTGAGATCAAGTGATGTCAAGTCTTTGAGGGATTTTTGACTTGCAACCTGACTCTTACGACTCCCTGTTCCCTACACGGTTGATCTAGGAGGAAGCATAAAAGCCATCTTCACCCCACGATGCTCAATCCTCCTTTCACCCATAGTAACAATTCGACCCGATTACTCTAGTCACGACCATTCAATTATCCTCTAATTCAAAATGCAATTCCTCGCCACCGTCAGCCTTCTCCTTGTCGCCGTTGCACAGGTCGCTGCGGCCCCTCCGCCAGCTCTGGAAGGTCGGGATTATGCCCTTTGCTGCTACGTAAGTTCACCCTCTGGGCTTAGATAAGGTAAAGAGAAAAGTCTGACCAGTTGATAGCTCACCTGCAAGGACGACCCGGCTTGCAAATAATGGAGGACGCTGTTGCTGAAATGCGATGTCTGGGAAAGGCTACCGGGAAACACTCACCAGCTTGTTTCGAACCCGAGCAGAGACCACGAACATTTCTCCCGCTTGTTATTCAATCAGCATGATTCCCATGTCGTGAAGATAGCAAATACAATCACAAAATACTTCGGCCATGTGCTTTCACATGCCACGTTGCCTCACGTTTCTGATACACCTCAATGTGTGCAACTTATGAGCGGCTGCTTCCGGCCTCTATCACTAGGGACTATGTCTCTACGAAGCGTTCCTTCGAGAGTAGATTCGAATGGGCAACGAACACCGAGTTTGTCATTGGGCGGGAGAAAACGCCCAGACTCAATTATTAAACCCGAGCTCTTGAGACTCCGATCCGAAGGACTTCGGCTTGAGCAGATGCTAGAGCTATACCTTTAGTAGGGATTTTGATCCATTAGTGCTCTAATTCCAAGGAAATCTGCATTGCAGTAGATTAGACACAGGTAACATTGAATCATCTAGTGAAAATATTTAAACAAATGCACACTGCCAGGGTCTAGCTTCAATCACACCAAACGCCTTCAAATGTGTGTCTTCGCACTAAGCTTGCTCCACAATGCGCAGCGTCCTGACTCCTGTTCATGCAAGTATTCCATCGTCGTCGAGTTTGTCTGCAGCTTGAGTCTTTCTCCATGTCGGTATGGCTTCCAATCAGGTGCACCCGCGGCCTTTGCGGTATTCGGATTGCCACCAGTCCTGGCGAAGCTAAGCCAGTAAGCCTGGACAACTCCAACCATCTCATGATTGACGCCACCGACATCGTAGCTATCAGCGCCCGGCACCGCAACCGACTGCGGTGCGTATTGTGGTCCCCAAACAGCCTGCAACTCCCAGGTATGCGGAACAATGAACCCCGCTGCAACTTCGACTGGGTCTAGAACGTGATCGCGTAGGAGGTAAACATCAACCCCCCCTTGGCTCAGTCCAGCAGCAAATCCTGACGCAACGCAGCTGAAAGCCATGTCGCCAAACATCTGGGACAACTGGTAGAACTTGGGGGACTTTGTCACGTCGACACCAGGGAAAGTGCTTGGCACTGAGGAATACTGAGCATTGGCTTGTGCCAGATCGTCCTCTGTTAGATCGGGAAACTGTGTCTTGAGGAAGTCATTGACGTCTTTCGTAGTGTTGGCTTGGGTTGCGAAGATGGTTCCCTCGGTGCTGGATGAGCCCAGGATCAGCGGCCGGTGTTTGGCAAAACTGCCATTGCGAAGCATCTCAGACGGCGTGCCCGTGAGCAGATGCGCGTCGATGACTGGGCCGTAAGGGAACAGAGGAATGTTCGCCTGCCCGGGAAACGGGAAGCCGCGGTTCGCCCGTTGGATCGTGTCTGAGTCGAGCGACCTCAAGCACGCAAGATCGCTGCAGTTGGTGGCATTGAGGAGATGATCGTACTGGTACTGGATTTCTTCGACTTTGTGGACAGAGGGAAGCCATACGGCTGGTGCAATCCCAGCGCGCCAGTTGATGTTGTCGCTTTCGGGAGGATGTCCGCCGTAGGCGAGAGTGTGCAGAAGCACGCTCCCTGATCCTGCGGATGTTGCAAAGAGGGTGACGTTGTTGGGGTCGCCGCCGAACTTTGCAATGTGCTGTTGGACCCATTTCATGGCGGCGCGCTGGTCGTGGAGGCCAATGTTGAGACTTCCTTCCTTCTGAAGCTCTTCGCTGGCAAGGAATCCGTAAGGGCCGACGCGGTAGTTGAAGCTGACGATGACAACACCATTGTTACTAGCTTCGACCAGCCCTGTGCCGTTGTAATTCTCATTGAGCAACTGCACAAATCCCCCGCCGGAAATCCAGACCATGACCGGAAGGCTTTGTGCCGGTGTGCCATTGACATGCGCCGGGTGGTAGACATCGATGAAAAGACAATCTTCCGATATATTTTGTCCAGGTGGCGGGGTGAACGCGAGGCCATCGACTGGCAGGCAAAGTGATCCATGCTGGTTGGTGTCAGTCCAAGCATTCGCCAGGGTGTTGTGCAGTTCTTACCGATTTCGCTGATACAATGCCATGTTCCTGAATGACCTCTTGTGGAAGCTTGAATCGGTTCTGTCCCACAGGAGGCGCGGCAAATCTCATTCCGAGAAATTGGTTGACGCCGTTGGACAGCGCGGTGCCCTCGTATGTCGCGTAACCCAAGTCAACGCGTGGGTTTTCAGTGTCGTTGCAAGCAGCTAGAGCCACGGTCAGGCAGCTCAGCCATGCTTGTAATGTGTTGTAAAGCTTCATAGCGTATAGCAGTACAGTTTCGTAGGGCAATTGTTTTGCGCTGCAATGTCAAAGAGATGCAATGACCAGAAGCCATAGTAATAATTCAGTTCTAAGATGTAAGTCCTCGTGTCTAAATACTCTGCCAAGGTACTACTAAGGTTACTGACAGCTAGCCTGGCCATTAGCGTGATTTGTAACAACAGACAACAAATGCTTGATTACATCTCATACTCTGAACACCACCATTTACGACTATGATTCTCGGTATCGTACGGAATTAGCGTAGACTAATCTGACAAAGGATAGAACCCTGAATGAAAGCTGCACTTTGCACTAAACTCGACGGAAATTAGGTTTCCCTAATTTGGCTAGATCTGGAGACCGTTGCGCTAGGTATTACTCAGATGATGTCAATCCGTTGTTGAGAACTGAAAGTGCATGCCACTTGGATGGATTTGTCATCGGCCCGAGTAATACTGATTGAATAAGGTACCGCGCGCTACGGGTTTAACTTTTGAATGGATGACCTCTGCCGGCGAAAGATTTCTACATTGGACGGAGGTCCCCACTCGAACTTTTGTGATGTAAAATAAGCGGCCCTCGGCACAGAATGGAGTTCAACATCAATAGCACCTGAGAGCCTGCGGACCCCGGCCATAACGGTCCGTCTCGACAAGACCCGAGGACCGAGAAGTGGGCCCCGTAATTCGGAAGCAGCATGAACAGAATCAAGCAGCCGACCTTTCCGAGGACCGAAATCATTCAACAGCAGTTCTCTCTCAATTCACATAACGTATGTTTTGTTTCTTAAGGGAATACTGAGTGCCAAAACCTCTGTGGCTCAACCTTGGTTGTTGTCAATTGAGTTCAGCTTATGCATGCGCCTCAGCTTCGAGTGACATACTGCAATATATCACAGTCACAAACAAGAATACCTCAGGGAGGATTCCATCAACTGCGTTTGATTGAGAAGAGCGGTATGCACTTCAGGGGTTCTGTGGCGCAATAGCTACCTCATGCGACTCGAAATGGTGACTAACAATGAACTGCGAGACCAACTCCGAGCGCCGAAGCTTCATTTCATGACACGAAATTGAAGTTAATGAGCCTTGCTGATCTTGCCAATTCATCAAATATAAATGCATCGGAAGGCTCCAAGATACTATCAGCACTTCGACGTGAAAGGCCAGACAGACCTAGCAAGTCGGAGTATCAAGCCGCTCCGGCCCCGCCGATGGTTATGGTGTCTTCTGGTCTCGCACTCGCTTAATATGATCGCCAGCTTGTACATATTCGGGTGCCAAGAGGAACGGAGTCGGGCAGACTGTTGCTATCCACTGCGGTCCGCTCAAAGCAGTGAATCAGACCAACCGACATGCGTTCGCGGGTTTTGCCTTCCTATAACATGAAGTCGGTTTCCATCATGATCCTCGGGATAGAAGTCTTCACTCACTGCCCTTCATCCCTCGCACACCACACTCGCTTCTGTCCTCTGTGTCTTGCAAATACCCAACGCTCATTTCAAACCTCTATCAGCCGCCGAGATGCAAAAGGCTACGGCACTTTTTTCGATCGCGGGACAGGCACTGTGCACTTGGACCCTTTCTGGCTTCCTTGGAGCCGAGTCATCCACCAGCATCGCAGTCGCCCGGCAGGCAGCCATCCCTGATGTGGACATTCCGCAGTCGGTTGAACGCATTTGGGACAGTCTCACAGGAAACAACAACTGCCTGGGATGTCAAGTAAGTCAGAGCACATAGCTTTCTTTCTCAGACCTCCACGAAGTCGTTCTCATGTCTCTTTAGGGAATCCTTCTCATCTTGAAGACGCTTGCAAACTTTGGTGACGATACTTTCGTCGGCGCCCTGCAGAAGCTCTGCAATGCCGCGTCTGTAAGTTCCTCTCAAGAGTCATGCCTGTTCAGACTGACAAGCGCGTCATAAGTCCGAAGATGAAGACGTCTGCAACGGCACTCTAGCTCTGGAAGGCCCCGTCATTGCTGCCAGTCTCCGCGACCTCACCCTGGGAAGCAAGACAGCTCAGGTCTTCTGCACAACCCTCCTCGGCCTCTGCGACTACCCTGAGGTTGAGCCGTACACCGTCCCCATGCCCCCCAAGACTATCACCTCTCCTCTCCCGGCAAACGTCTCCTCAAACGGAACAAAACCCGCCCCTTTCAAGATCGCTCACTTCTCAGACATCCACATCGACCCTCTCTACGTCACCGGCTCCAACGCCAACTGCTCCAAGCCGATGTGCTGCAGGTAACTCCCCCAAGACTCTCCCGATATTGTCCTTGAAGACGATTCTGATCGGATACGTCCAGACCGTACACCCCCGCCGACGAGCCCGGCAACAACGACTTCCCCGCCGGCCCCTTCGGCGACCACAACTGCGGCGCCCCCTTGAGCCTCGAACAGAGCATGTACGCCGCCATCAACGCCCTCTCCCCCGACTTCGCCCTCTTCACCGGCGACATCGTCGACCACGCCATCTGGAACACCACCGTCGCCCAGAACTCCGCCGAGATCAGCATGGCGTACCAGCACATGTCCGACGCGGGGCTGCAGATCTACGGCACCGTCGGCAACCACGAGATGTCCCCCGCCAACGCCATCCCGCCGACGCACCTCGGCGCCGGCGCGCAGTGGCTGTACGATGTCGTCTCCGAGGCGTGGGGCAGGTGGATCGGGGCGCCGGCGGAGGCGAAGTCGGTTGGCGCGTACTCGGTCAAGACGCCCAGGGAGGGGTTGAGGGTGATTTCGGTGTCGACGAACTTTTGATACACGCTTAACTTTTGGCTGTATAAGGATGTGCAGAGGGATCCGAGTGACCACCTCAAGTGGCTCGTCGGGGAGCTGGATGCAGCGGAGAAGGCTGGCGAGCGCGTGTTTCTGGTTGGGCACATGCCCATGGGCACGTCAGATGCGCTTCACGATGGTTCGAATTACTTTGATCAGATTGTCAACCGATACAAGTCAACCATCGCCGGTCTCTTCTTCGGTGAGTAACCCCCTTCTCACCCAAACGACGTCGAAGCTGACAACAACCCAGGACACACCCATCTCGACCACTTCCAAATCAGCTACTCCAACTACACCCACCGCACCGCCTCCAACGCCGTCGCAACATCCTACATCGCCCCCTCCATGACCCCCCTCTCCGGCATGCCCGCCTTCCGCATCTACACCATCGACCCCACCACCTTCGGCATCCTCGACATCGAGACCTACGTCGCCGACATGACCGACCCGACCTTCCAAACCACCGGACCCGTGTGGAAACTCTCTTACGCCGCCAAGGAGACCTTCGGCACCATCCTCGACACCCCCGTTCCCGCGGACGCGGAGCTGACTCCGGCGTTCTGGCACAACGTTACCGTCGCGCTGGAGAACGACCCAGCTGCGTTTGAGGCGTACTGGGCGCGCAGGACGCGCGGGTGGAACGTGCCGGAGTGCGACGACGCGTGCCGCAAGAGTGAGATTTGCCAGCTGCGTGCGGCGAGGAGCCAGGATAACTGCTTTGTGCCGACGCCCGGTATGTCTTTTGGCATCAGATCGGAGGATGGGATGAGGAAGCCGGCGGAGTGTGATCGCTCGGTGGCTAGGGAGACGATTGGGTCGCTTGCTGTTCGCAAGAGCCAGGTTGAACTTCTCGAGGCGTTGCTGGAGGAGCACCAGGCTCGAAAGTGAGGCTTCTCAGCGCGCTCTGGCTCAGTATAGTGAGGCAACCTTGGCAAGCCAGAAGAACATGTTGATATTCAAGTCTCTAAGTTTCATCAGACAAAGCCATTCTAGAATTTGACATCAAATCCTGCAACTAGATTCAAATAGATCCATCCATCAGATGTATGCCCTCACAACGTCCCCCTTTACTCCTCTTGCGGCTGCTCTTCCTCGTCACCACTGCTTCCTCGACTGCTCCGCCATGGAAATATGCCCATTCCCTCCCCTAGCATACGACTCCTCCCTCATCTGCCGCCGCAGGTGCTTGTTATATGCCGGTGTCTTCATGTACTCGGACCGCGGGCGCGCCGTCCAGCCCTTGCCATCGTCTATGTAGCCCCACTGGTAGGGATCGCCGGACTTGCTGGAGCAGGAACCCATGATTTGTCTTGTGTTTCGTTATTGACCCTTGGGAAGGGAGAGTTTGAAAGCTTTGAGATGTGTTCTTGCTTGGTTATTGCCGTGGAGATATCTGTGATGGCATCGTCAGTTTGAAAACAGCAGCTTCGATAGATGAAGACGTACGTTTTACGTGGTTGCAATGATGTTTACGAGATTTGCTTCAAAGATGCGTTGTGATACCTTAGTTCAACATCCAGGACATCTTGTCCAGTGCAGTTCTCCTTATATGCTTTTTTGATACAGCTCATGAAGCTGTTCTTAGACGCCTAGACTCTCCATGAGCTGTCTGCCCAAGCGGCATCATGAGCGTGGCTCAGCTGACGTCAATTCGTCCCCCTACCAGATTCAAACCCCCGGCCCCGGAATATCAGGCACTGATCGGCACCGATGGAGGTAAGTGGCTGGCCGATTTCGCCGTTGAACCCCCGTAAATGGAGTGAACAACGGCCAAGACCCCATCACACTGGACGCTGAAGCCTCCCCAAGCGATGTGAGATCAACTTTTTTAAAGTAAATGCCCCGTCGGACTTTAATATTTCGCCCATCACATCCGCAGGCATACGCCTTAAGAACAAAGGGCCAGGATTCGACGAAGGCCACTCTTGGCTTCCCCGCATCACATCCTTCGCGGCAAAAAGGACTGCAGGACATCGACTTTCCCAATTAGGCAAGCCAAAGAAGATTCCATTTCTTCTCATTCTAAAAGTCTAAATGTCTTACAAGAATTGAAAGTACACATTAGGTATCCGCCATGCCATGCAAATGCAACGCTGACAATGACGAAAGACACATCCAAATTGGGACCTGCGTCCATCAAGAAAAGTCTAAGCCCTACGCAGCTCTATCCAGACTCTGCGCCTCACACATCTTTTTGTACATCCCGCCTTGCTCGATAAGTTCATTGTGAGTTCCCGTTTCGACGATGCGGCCGCCGTAGAAGACGCAGATCCTGTCTGCGTCGCGGATCGTGGAGAGGCGGTGCGCCACGGCGATGGTGATGCGATCGCCCCTAGCTGCGGCTTCCATAAGAGCTTTCTGGACGACCTTCTCCGATTCGGTGTCAAGTGCACTGGTGGCCTCGTCCAGTAGAATGACACTGGGGTCGCGAACTAAGGCCCTAGCAATGGCGATACGCTGTCTCTGACCGCCGGAAAGTTGGTTTCCACCCTGTCCACAGGGAGTGTTGAGGCCTTCGGGAAGAGAGCTGACAAAGTCCCACGCGTTGGCTGCGCGGCATGCTGCTTCGATCACGCTGTCATCCACCAGAACCGCCTTCTCGTCAGAAGCGTCGGAAGCCTCTGTTGGGAGGTCGATTCCTGCCGCGATGTTCTCGCGGATGCTGCCTGGGAAGAGGGTGGGCTCTTGCTGGACGAGAGCTAGCTTGTTGCGATAAAGGCGAGGACTGATCGCTGTGAGGGGTGTAGATTCATCAATGATGATCGTGCCGCTTGTAGGATCGTAGAATCGTTGGAGAAGGGAAATCATTGTGCTCTTGCCGCAACCTGAGGCGCCGACAAAAGCAACAAACTGGCCGCGATCGATCTGTTGGGAATCAAATGTCAGTTTTCTTGCTCGCCAATATCACACGGAAATAACTAACTTTCAAAGTAACGCCCTTGAGTACCCTGGTGTCCGGGGCTAAGGGGTATGAAAATTGGACATTGTCGAAGCCATAGGAGCTGCAACCATCAGGAGGGCCCTTGTCACCGTTTTCTTGGGTGTCTTGAATTGTGGGCTCGAGACCCATCAGCCAGAAGTAATAGTTGGCAGCGGAATTTGCCTTGGTGAAACCTGGGAAGACACTGCGGTTAGAGACTATAAGCCATAGCACCAGCGATATCTACTTACTGCTGGAGAAACTGAAGATCATGCCCGCAGCCTGACCGGAGAAGAAAACACCCATGAAGGAGATAATGAATTGGGAGAAATTGATCTCGCCGTCCGAAACAAGACGTGATCCCCACCAGAATCCTAGGGCGAGAATGAAAAACTCGATGGATTGAGTAAGGGCGAACCAGATCATCATGTTGAAAAGCGGAAGAGTCGAGCTTGAGATGGCGTTGTCGAGCTCATTCGTATATCGTTGAATCACGCTCTTCTCGATAGCAAGAGAGGAGACCGTGCGTATTGCGCTGACGGTCTCGGATGCCAAAGAGGCACTTGTTGAGAACTTCGCGTCGACCTCGGCGTCGAGCTTCGTTTCGATACGAATACGGGCGAAGCCTGCTCCAAGGAGAGGTGGCATGCCTGCGAAAACACCGACAAGACCAAGCTTCCAAGACACTGCGATCGCCAGGATACTGCTAGCGACGACATTGACAAAAGACAGGAAAGCGAGAGCGACGTTGAATCCCATCAGTTCTAGAATCGCTTGTGCCATGGAATCGATTCGGCTATTGAGGGCGCCAACTGTGTTCTCAGCTCGATCGAAGAAACGAAGGTCTTGTCTTAGCATTCCGTTAAGGAGACCCTTGCGAACCTTCTGGCTGAGAGTCTGTAAGAGGTTATTGGAAGTTTATACCAATAGAGTCAGAGAGCGTACCTGAGCAATCACGTTCGTTGTCCAGCCCATGATGTAGTAGACAGTTAGAGTACCTATGGACATGACGAAGTACATCAGAGCGATAAAGTTGCCGCGCTTGACCATGTCGGAAGAGGTAAACACATCCATGACCTGGGACAGAAGAAGAGTCTGTCCGGGGTAGACAGCAGCTGAAGGTGGGTTAGCGCGTAGTGTTTATCGTGAGCTGGCCACTGGACTTACCTCCGAGAACACAGACGACGAAGGCACTGCAGTACCACATCTTAATCTCAGATGTAGAACGGATGAGCTTGACGATAGTGTGCACAAGATTGGTCTGCTTGTAAAGCTTGAAGTCCTCCTTGTCTTTGAACGAGACGAGTCGTTGCGCAGCCTCGGTGTCATACTTGGCGAGGGATTGAACGGGCTCAGCTGCCTCAGTCGAGTCGTCTTCGGAACTCTCGTCGGTGCTCCCCTTCTCCTTGACAGACAGATCTTGCGCCTTTACCAGCTTGGCGTAGTTCCCACCTAGTGCAACTAGCTCATCATGCTTGCCTTGCTCCACGATCTTGCCCTTGTTCATCACCACAATGTTGTCTGCGTTTCGGATGGTTACAAGTTTGTGGGCAATAACAACGGTAGTCCGGTTCTTGGAAGCGCTGTCCAAAGCTTGTTGCACAATTCCTTCGGCATGAGGGTCTAGCGCGCTTGTTGCTTCGTCAAGTAGGAGTATTTTGGGCTCGGAGATAACGCTTCGTGCAATGGCGATACGTTGCTTTTGGCCACCGGATAGCAGTCCACCTCTCTCGCCAATTCGGGTATCGTATCCCTCGGGAAGGTTACTGATGAATTCGTCGGCAAACGCGACCTTGGCCGCTTCCTTGACGCGCTGAAGTTGATCCTCTCGTGAGGCATTCTCCAAAGGGGTCCCGACTAGGCCGTTGACAATGTTCTCGAATACGGTACCGTTGAAGAGAACAGGCTCCTATTTGAGGTCAGTCTTCCAATCATGTCTCGGACTTAGTTTCGGAGCATGCCACAAACCTGCTGAACAAGTCTCATCGTCGTGCGCAACCAACCCAGGCTCAGGTCACGGATGTTGATACCATCGAGGCTGATGGATCCGGAGGCAGGATCGTACCATCGCTCCAGGAGGCCGATGATGGTACTCTTCCCGGAGCCGCTGGATCCCTGCGGTGTTGTAAGCAACGTTTCGCTGAAATATCGCCATCTCAACATACCACAAGAGCTGTCACCTTGCCAGCGGGGATTCTTAGAGAATAGTCCTCGAGAACTCGGGTGTCCGGTCGCGTGGGATAGCTAAATGTGAGTCCTTTGATGTCAATATGCCCTGAAACTTGGCGAGGGACTTGGCCGGATTCGTCGAACGGATTGATATTGGACTTTCTGTCGATCAAAGTGAAAAGTTCCGAAGCGGAGGTAGCAGCACGACTGAACGCCATCAGGTGAGGGGCTACACCGTTGATGGAAGTCGAGGCGATGATAACGGAAAACAAGACCCTATGAGCTTTTGATCAGCAGAGCGATTATTGAAAGACTTGCAGTTGAGCCTACGTGAAAACCGTGCCGATGCCGTCCACCTCCTTGCGCGCGATCATAGCAATACCCTGCCAAAAGGCCAAAGCCATGCCTGCGTAAACAACGAAGTACTGCCAGCCAAACATCACACCATAGATGGGACTCTTCTTGTTTCCGATGACCCGCGATTGGTCGAGATACGAGCTGTACTTCTGCATGATGCGAGACTCCAAGCTGAAGGCTTTGATAGCACGAATGCTTCCTAAGGCGCTCTCGGCGTAGGTTCCTGCTTGTGCGTTGGACTGCAAGATCTTGGTTTCAAAGCCAGAGTCGATAGCCGCCATGGCACCACTGACAAGAACAATGGCCGGAACGATGCAGATGATAATGAGTGTCAGTTTCCATTGGCTTACAAAAGCGATGATGAAGGCAGCGAAGAAAGTGGAGACGGAAGAGAAGAAGAGGCCAAGTTTCTCAGCAATTCCAGACTGGATGAGTTTTCCGTTCGTCGTTGCTTGCATGGCGATGGAACCAGCAGTGCCGTGGTCGAAGAAACTGATTTCCTGGCTGAGGGCAGCTTGGAGGTAGGTCCGTCGAACGTTGCGTGTCAACTTGAATGCGACGTAGGTGAAGAGAGCCGAGTAGATGTACGTTGTGGCGAAACGGGCGATGCCGATGTAGACGAAATAGAGCCTGTGGATGTCAGATGGCCGATTCCCGGGTTTGTTGATCATGTCTGCCTACGCATTCTTGCTCACAGCCGCCATAAACTTGTCAGGGTTGGCGGAGATTGTTGAAGGGTCACTCATGATGTCCATCAAATTGCCGATGATCAGGTTCATCATTGCTAGTGCCACACCGGACCCAACAGCGGCGAGAATGCCAATGGTCTCGAGAACATAGTCGATTGGTTCTCCATATCTGAAGACTCTCTGCAACTCATGTCAGTGACAATCAGTGAGCCATCATAATTTCTCGACTTACCAGAAAGCCTCCAAACCCACTCGGCTTCTTCTCGTCGGTGTTGTCGGGGTGCTTCGATGAGTCGGTGGACGCTGAACTCGAGGAAACGTCTTGCTTCTCCATATCTTGTCTTGGCGTACGTCTCGCGGAGAAGGGCGAGTAACGACACAGAAGGAAGCAATTCGGCCCAGGTGGGAGAGGGGGAGGTACTAAGGTTTATCTAATGAGAAGGGGAGGAAAAAGCGAACCAGATCAAAAAGGGATGAAAGCGGGCAAGTTCAGACGGAGCAGACAAAGTGTAACGTTGTTGCTGATTGTCGCCGCGTAATAAAAGGGAAAGACTGGGCGAGGTGCGAACCGTATGCACGGCTCGGAAAGAAGTAGTGTAGTCGGCAGCCTCTCAAATACGAATCTCGCGTCTCAGAGCGAACCTAATCATGGAAGGTGCCTGCCGAAAGAGGGCGTCGTGAGAAAACACCCCGCTGCGGCCCGGATTAGGTTCCAGCTAGGTACGCTCCTATCCTGCCCTGTGGTAAGGCACCTGCCCTGGGTGAACTCCTATCCATGGGAATGGAAGGGCCCAGCTGCCCGGGATCTCCTTCCGTCCCGCGTTGGAGCTGGGGCGGGCGGTGGTGCGGCATGCCAAGCAGGCGCGGCCGAAGCAGCTGCCACCAACGGAGCGCGGGCTGCCAAGATTCCTCGATTCCGCACCCCATGTCCAAATCCACAAAACACGCGTATTCAGCCACTATCGCAATGGAAAATGATGGGAAAACTGTCATCAAGGAGATTATGAGACTTGAACGTCATTCAAGCAACTGATTTCAAGATAACGACCGCGTCAAGAGACCCGGGGTTTGCCAAAGTCGGACCCCGCGGCCAACCCGATGCCTTCCATAGGTTCACCAAAAAGGTCCACAATTCCCAGAAAGTCCACGCTTCCGTACCTTATTTTTTTCTCGGTTTCGCGTTGCGTATCGCTCTCGCTGCGCATAAGTCAACCTCACCTCCGCGCCAGCTGCGCAAAAAAAGGCAACACGTCGCGAGTTACGAATTACGAATGCGGGCCTCGCTTTCATTGCTCTCCGCTCCGCACCATTGCGCTTCGCTTCGCTGCATGACAACAGCCGCACCGCCGCCATCCCTTTTCCAGCGTTCATCTCAATCGACGACACATCACTCGCCTCCGCACTGACTTGTTGGTCCAATCATTCTCCCAGTTCCAGGGCATTGGGTCTTGTTGAAAGGATGGAAACCGAGCCGGGAACCGGCAGCAGCGCCCATGATCCGATGGATTCCCTCGAGGACCATGAGGACGATGATGAGCTTCCGCTGTCCAAAATCTCTGTAAATTGGCACTGGGTGTTTGGTAGCTGGCGCACAAGATACTGACGTGCCTTGTCCAGTGCGATCGCTGCCGTCGTCGTAAGGTGTGTTCTGCTCGTCGTTTCAGAAGCCGTTCGCTGAACTGACGGCTCAACTGGTGAAATGCAATCGCCGGCAACCGTGCTCGTACTGCATCCGCATTGACGTTCCCTGTACCTATCCTGAGAGGCAAAAACCCAAGGAACGGCGACAACGCGTCTTCATTTCAGAGGTGTAGTAAGTGGTGCAGCATGCTCGCGGACCATGTTATGCGTCTAATTTATTGCAAAGTGAACGAAAAATCGACTACATCGCCAAAAAGCTCGAGGAGTTTGGCCATGCTTTGGGCAATATTGATAGCAACTCGCAGCCCTCCACCTCGTCAACCCTTCCCTATCGCTCTTCGCCAGCAACACCAGCATCTCGCGGTACCCCAACAGAAGCCTTAGCCGCCCCATCGCCATCAAGCGGCAACACGAGCAAGATCCTGACACCAAAATTGGAATATGAGGGAGAATCATCTCTTTCGGCGCAAGCCGCTTTCGCTAACAAGTTCCTCCGCGATGCTGTCAGCAGCAAGCCCTCTGCCGACGTGACAGGAGAGATGGCCTCTGTCTTGGATACCCTCAGTCGCACAATTGGGAATCAAAAGCGGGAGCAAGAGCCCGAGTACCTCTATCCTCATGCCAGAACGCTTGAGCCGGGCACCACACTCCGAGACCTGCCCATGCCCCCGGTGGAAACGGCTTTCACCTGCCTCAGAATGGCCAAAGGTATAGAACCTACCGATCGCACTTTGGCATCGCGTTGCGTACTGATTGCCGTACAGAACACCCTCGCGTCAAGTTCTTTTGGAATCACGAAGCAAACTCCGTCTCATCGTTCACCGACTACTTCCTCAAGGTTTACTCCCCAGGGGAGGTGACCCACGCAGACCTCATCATCGTCAACGGAGGCTTGTACTGGCTATTTCTCGAATGCAAAAACGTGATTGCCAATCCGGCTAAGAAGTCGGACTACGCAGAGCAGGCAACTACTTGCCGCGCGAATCTCGAAACCGTACTCTCAAGTCTGCCGTTCCATCTGCCATCAACGATGGACACCACGTGCGCTATGATGTTGGCTGTATGTACTCATGCCCACTGAAAGAACCATTACTGATGACCACGGCAGGCCATGTACTGCCTCGACTCCTGCAAGCCGTCCGCCGCATGGAACTTCATCGCCACTGCATCGCACATGAGCCAGACTCTAGGTATGCACAGCATAGTTGCCATGGCTAACGACGATGCGGAGACCAAACGAGAGAAGCTCAAGCTGTTCTGGATGATCTACATGCATGAGAAGGGTCTTTCCCTTCGACTGGGCCGATCATCTACCATTCGCGACTCTGATGTGACCGTTCCTTCTCTTGCACCAAATCCAAGGGCAGATACGGCCATCTTTGGCCAGCTGCAGAAATGGACAGAACTGGCAAGAATTCAAGGCATGGTCTACGATCAAATCTACAGTCCCGCCGCGTTGATACAACCTCAAGCAGTCAGGACCGCACGGGCACGAAGGCTTGCCTCGGTCCTCGAGGGCTTTACGAGCAAAACATCCCCAGATGAGGTGAGTGGAATCCATTCAGGTTGATACGCCGTCTTTGCCATCGGATGTCTTCCCAGACATTATGTGACACGTAGACTAACTTGGTCTTAGCTGCGCTACATGCAAGCAATGAAGGACGCGGTCGGAGACTTGTTTTTCGAAGCCTTTATTTGTACCACAAGGGTCACGCACCTGTCTTTGTTCTGCCTGATATACCGAGCCATTCCTGCCGAGCCGGGCGAGGGTACCGTCTTTGGTAAGGAGTGCATAGCCAGCGCCCGCCAAGCCCTCGAAGAACACGAAAAATGCATGTCTATTATTCAAAAACTTGACGAAGACTTCCTCGAAACATACGTCAACTGGTATGATCAACCCTCATTCTTTGCGCAACCCAAACAAGCCCCAACTAATTACTCCAGGGCTCTCCTGCAATCACCATTCGTCCCATTCACAGTCCTCTTCTGCCATGTCATCGAAACATGCAATGAAGCAGACCTCGAGCGTCTTGGTGGTCTGATCGGCTCTCTACAGCAGCTGCTGACCGATGACTTCTCGACAGGCGTGAAGAAGGAGGTCCGGCTGTTCAAGGTCCTGTATGACGTCGCTTGCAGTTACATCAAGTTGAAGACGAACGATTCACAACAGATTGAAGACAGCAGCATCGGTGGCTGGGGAAGTACTGCAGCGTCTCTGATGATGCCGCCGTCCTTGTCCCAAACGAATTTGATGCCGACGCCGGACTCGAGCTCGCAGGGGGTGGCACATACGCCATTTTCACAGCTTGGCGACGCCGAAGCCGTGATGGGCGGTGCATTCGGTGATCCGTCTGCTAGCAATGCGTGGATTCCCGGTAACTCGTTTGCGATGCCCGGCGACTTTGGCATGGAGGTTGATCAGCAGAGCACGCAGCTTGGCAACTGGCTGTACATGAACAACCAGATGATAAGAGCATTGGAAGACAGTTACTTTTGATGACAAGAGGCAGTCTAATTTTCTTGGTGGTTTCCTGCCTAGAAATTATTAGAGTATTCCTGCCATTGATAACTTTCTAGACCACATTGTCGCGTTATCCAATGTGAAAAGAGACTGACACACTCTACTTTGCTCCCTTCATGTCGCAACCCAGAAACTCTCTGCATATCTCTATAGCAAACCTTTTCGCCCTCCATTCTTCAGCCTGGACACTCGGTCCGAATGTCTCCCACGTAATCTCTGTAATTCTCGCCCGACCGTCCTGAGTCGCAATCTGCAGACGAAGCTGTTCCCCGCGGGTGTAACGTCGATACACATGAAATACGATATTCCCCATTTCATCGGGTCCTTCAGCACGGCACATATAGTCCTCGTCCACCCTCTTAGGATCGTAGTCCTTGAGGAGCTTCTCGACATCTTGGTTGGATAGCTCAACGTGCCATTCTGCAGTCTGGGGGTATGTATGAGAACCGGGAACCCACGGGTGGAAGGATGCACGAGAAGTCGTTGAGAAGCGGTTGTGAGCGGGCGCAATAGGCAAGGGGCGGTGGTAAGCGCCCCTGGCAACCGCGGAGCGCTTCATGGCCGAGCGGCTAGAATTGATAATGAGTCTGAACATCGTGCAACTCTGTTCTTCGTCTGGGGTTATTGTGTGCTCTTATTTCTAAAACAGTAGTTAGGTGAGATTTTGTCTGTGAATGAGAGCATCTTACCTACTATGTACTTATTTTAACGTTTGTATATTCCTGCTGACTTCTGCAGTACGATTCTTCTGATGATAGCAAAGCGAATGATGATAGAGATTCGAGTATCCAGCACTATTTCTGGCTTTAATATCTTGCTTATGATGAGCAGCAGGGCCTTAAGTACCTGGTTGGCCAAAACAAGCTTTTCCATGGCGGAAGACTTTGCGAAGTCATGTCTGGTACCTTTCGCTCTTATGAGTCACGCGGGCGAGACTACAAACATTCAAGGCAACGAAGACGTCTTCAAAATGAGACCGAGAGCCACATAATGGGCGGCTTCTACTTCTGATGACAAGACACAGTATGACCCGATCGATGGCTGTGTGCTCACAGAGCAGAGCACCGAAATGACATACACGAATAAAAAATTGATCGCCTTAATTCACTGCGCCATCCTATTCAATAATAATGCTTGGCCTGAGGGCTCCACGCGAAGCACTGGCTGAGAAGCTCTCCGCACATTGGCCAACCCCTCCAGCAAGGAAAGAACCAACCTGGAACCACCGCGGATAGGCAACCTTCAGCTCGGCGTTAGCTTGTCTCTCGAGGCTCTCTCCGGAATCACTTCTTGTAACGATTGCATGAAGAATCCATCCGGAATTTTCTAAGTGTAGCTGTAGATGGAAACCCAGCGGAGGGAATATAGTTGCTTTGGGGGACACAGCGCTGATTCGAGACTCGCCAGACCCAGAAGGTGAACACGCAACACACACCTCAGGCCCGCCTGAGAATACTCTAAGTATATATAGAGATTAGAATCTAGACCAGGCATCAGCGGGTGGAGAGCTGGCCGTGCATATGCCGAGTATAGCCCAAATGCTAGCCCAACACGTTAATCATACTATCCAGCGCTGTGGATCCTCCGGGCTTGAATCTCTTTTCAGTCACCCTTTTTTTTTTTTCATATTTTCATTTCGATCTCTTTTTCTGGTCTGCCTCCCGATGCACGCGCTACGAACTAGCGTTTGGAGATCCGATGTCAGGGCAAGACTTTTCCTTCTACCACGCAAGTTGTATCGCTGAGGTTGCCGGGAATTTGGACGCGCGATTGAATTCAACCCTTGACCGTTGGTCCCTATCTCAGACTTCTCTATCACGTCGTTTCTCTCACCCACGATGTCAGCTGGAGATAGCTTGTCATTCAAGCCTCCGCTCCCGTGACATAACCGAGCAACCGCGGCGCCGACCATTTTATTCCCCGACCCGGTTCGCGCGAGTGGAGCCCCGTCGCTCTGCGGACGTCAACACGCCGCATAGCGGGGGCGGGGCGCAGAACCAGCCTTTTTGGAATCAATCCTTCTGCAGCGGCGCCACCCGCGCCTTTTAGACAACATGTTTTCTGGAATCAATTCAAATCCTTCAGACACATGCTTAGAAATGCAAACCCCATAAAGTCCTGGGAATTGTCGCATTTTATGTTTCTCGGCGGCGGAAGCATCCATCACGCCCTGCAATTGACAGCCCCAACTCCACCGGTTTATCAAGTAAGCCCCGTATGATGATTCGTAGAGAAGTAGATCAAACAGACCAAACACACACTCTCGTTCGCCAACCGCGGGGTAAACACACCACCACACGCGCCCCTCAAAAAAGGGCCCATGCTCACTTACCAAACTACTTACATCACCTAACCCCGCAGCAGAAAATGGGCACGGCGTAGTGGCCAATTCCCATGATAAGACGGGGATCAGCTTCCTTGTTGCCGGCTCCAGCGCTAGCCGAAACTCTCAAACGTGTATATAAATGGGGGATCGGACTTCCTCAACCGCTTGGTCTCCTCTTTGCTGACAGACCCTATCAATTTCACATTTCTTTCACCGAAATCATCATTGGACACCGACGACGAGTGAACTGACGGAACACACTTTGCGAGAAGGAAAAGGAAAAGGAAAATGGTTCTTAAGGGAAGCTGCATGTGTAAGGCGGTGAAGTACGAGAGTAGTGGTGAGTCCGGGACCTCGAAGCTTCCCACGGGCGAACGGCTCGACTGATGCAGTCTGCAGAAGAGCCGCAGGTGACAGCCCTGTGCCACTGTGTTGATTGCCAGAAGGTAAACTCTCATCATGATCATCGTCACGACGCGGGGATGTTCAAAGTGCTGACTTATGTCCAGTGGAGCGGTTCCGCCTTCACCTCCAACGCCGTCGTCCCTCGCGCCGCGTTCAAGGTCACTCAGGGTACGCAAACTCCCGCATCGTCATGATGCTGCGGAAGGAACTGACATCATCTACAGGCGAGCCCAAGTACTACGACATCACCGGCGACTCGGGCAAGAAGAACAGGCACTTCTTCTGCTCCGGCTGCGGCTCCAGTCTGTACACCGAGCTCGATCTCATGCCGGACGTCACTTGCATCAAGGTAAGGAATCCTCTGCGATGAATGATCATTACTTTGCGTTGCTAATCTGTCATCAAAGGCTGGCGGACTAGACGACGGAAAGGCGAGTCTCGAGGGAAAGCCTGCTGTCGAGTTTTACTGCAAGGACCGCGTGTCGTACTTGACGGGCGTCAACGGCGCCGATCAGAAGCCTGCGTTTTCTTAAGGGGTTGGGAGTCTATTGATGAGATGTATGGAGACTATGAAAATAAAGAAAATGAAGTTGAGATCACATGCGGTTCTAGTCTGTTCAAGTGATGTTGATCAAAGTCCGGCGAACTCCCCCACCCGTTCACACTGCCAAAAGGTACCTAGAAAGAGTAACCAGTTCGTTGAAATGTCAGAATGACAAGGAAAAGCCTACATGCGCCGACATGGGTTCGTCCAGTATGCAGAAACTCAATGGAGTCTCACTCTCTTGGTCTTGCCAGAAATTCTGCTCGGCAGTCAGCATCCGTCCCCAAACACCACAGAAAAGGGGGCAAGCACGTACCTGGTATGGTCAGCACCATTGACTACGACCCCGTTGCTCTGCTGCTCAGCCTCCCAGACAAAATCATCTCTACCCTCTTTTCCAGGGCCTCGGAGAAGCACCTTAGTCTCAAGCTTCTTATCAAACCGGCTGTACATCTTCGGCGCCTCGTCAATGTCCACCTCGCTCGTAACCACAAACCCCGGCCTCGCCCTACCATTCTCAATCAGCCTCACCAGCGCCGGCACAGTCTCCAACAACTCCACGATACCGAGCTTGATCGTAATACTCTTGAACCACGCATCCGCAAACGGGAACTTCAACTCGGGGCGCATCTCATCTGCGTTCGGCGCGCCCGCGCTCTTCTCAAGCGACGCGTACACCCCCGGCACGCCGATACCCCCGCCGAAGCTCGTGACCTTCACCGCCTCGCGCAGCACGTAGTCCTGCTGCGGCTTCAGCTCGGCGTTGACGGCGGCCATCTGCCCGCAGCAGTCGACGGCGCGGTTGACGCCGCCGGGCTGCAGCGCGAGGATCTGCTCGGACGCGGTGGCGCCGCCGCGCGCGAAGTTGATGGGCACGGCGCCGATGCCGGCGGCTTTGGCGAGGCGCTGTGGGACGTGGTCGACGACGTAGACGAGGGACGCGCCGCGGATGATGGCGGAGTAGGCGCACATGAGGCCGACGGGGCCCGCGCCGAAGACGGCGACGGTGTCGCCCGGTTGGAAGCCCGACCAGGTGAGGCCTTCCCAGGCGGTGGGGAAGATGTCGCCGATGAATAGCCATTCCTTGTCCGGGAGGCGCTTGGGGATTTTGAAGAGGGAGGAGTCGGCGTGGGGGACGCGGACGTACTCGGCTAGGTTTTGTATTAGGATCAATCGAATCCAGGAAAGGGGTCAAAGTGAAGGATGAGACTTACTTTGCAGACCACCAATACCGCCAAAGTCTTGGCCAAAGCCGTAGGTGACGAGTTCGAGCTGCAGATGATTCTGGGTCTGGACGTAGCCATCCTGAGGAAACCCGACGACGACGCGGTCACCTACCTTGAAGCTATCGACGGCGTCGCCCACTTCCTCAACGATGCCCATGGCCTCGTGGCCCATGGCGAACGGCACCTCATGACTGCCGAAAAAGCCGTGGTAGGTGTGCAGGTCACTGCCGCAGATGGCGGAGGTGGTGATTCGGATGATGGCGTCCTCGGGCTCAGTGATGCGTGGGACAGGGATGTCGTGCTTGACGGCCATCTCGTAGGGCTTGCCTTCCCAGACGACGCCCTTCATCGTCTTGGGGCGGAGAGAGTTGTATGCTGTCATTTTGAGCAGATGTTTCGATGAAAAGATGGAAGATAGATATTCCAATCGTATGTCCGAGAGAAAGTAGCATTTATCATGAACTTGAGCGTCGTTCTTATAGATGTGCCAAGAGCTTCAGGCAATTCTACGATCCCCAGATGAATCCATCCAAAGCCGGGGTTCGTCACCGAAAGAGGTCACATCTGACATAAATGGTGGCTTATCCATGAGAAATTGTCACTTGACAGTCATAAGAACTTGCCTTTTGCCATGTTCTACCCAGATTGGGACAGAATAGGCAACGTAACTCAGCCTCGGGTAAGGATGCGACCCTACTTAGCAGCCCTCCAATGGAGGCTTAGAGGCGGGATGATGGAAGATAGGGCCGGATCCAATCATGGAGGTCAGACGCCCTAGTAGTGGGAGGTGTTTGCTTCTTGCAAGGCTGACGTTGACGAGGGTGGTGGAAGTAAGCTTACAATGACACCATACAAGAGCACCCGGCAGGCATTCGGCGCGCCGCAGACGTCCTGCACAGCCAGAAAGAACTTTGGACTTGCTTTTTCCGGCAATGGTTCCGACAATGGTTGGCAATTCTCGAATGTAAGATGCTCCAACTTTGATGGATCAGCATACCTCTTTGCTGCCATGAGATTCTTTATGGGGTTGCATCGATGGGAAAGATCCTAAATGTCTTGCCATGCTTGGAGTTTGGAACTATACGACAAGGAAGATTTTTGACCGCACTACAAGGTCAAACGACAACTCAATGAAAAGGTCTACAGGAAAAACACCTGATCGGGCGACTTTTGATTGACACTCGAGAAAACCATCACCTTTCCTCTCGGGCAAACGAGTTCCCTTAGGGTTAGGTTTAACCTCCATGGCTCGATGGAGAGGGAGTTCTTGCAAAAAGACCTTTTCTTTCCTGCCACTCTCTGAAAAGTTCCTTCTCTCTTCTCACCTACCTGGGTACCGTGGGGGAGGATACGCCACCTCGTAGCTACCTATCTTGCAACTACTTCACTTCGCAACTCCGTCGCGATTACCTCATTGCCGCCTGCTGCAGCAGTTCCTTCCTAAACACCTTTCTCTCGCCCCTACCGCCATCACAGTTGTGTTCTCTACATCCTCTACTGTCATCCTGGGGTCTCTGCTATCGCCCGCCGTTCTCTTTTCTGTCGTTCCTCTCGGCAAGGCACACCATGTCTAGGTTCTTCGAGTACGATGAGGAGCCGACTGGCTTTCCCATCCAGCAAGAGAAGAGACATGGCCCTCTCTTCGACGCATATCGACGACGCGAAGTACCTTGCGTCATCTGCGTGGGAAGCTCTCTGCTCCTGGCATACAGCAAGGAATGCTGGGGCAGCGTCGGTCTGAACCAGGCGGGTGGTCTTGTAACGGACTTCACCTTTGTATACGGCGCATACATCACACCGGAGCTTCGAATCACCATCACTGCCGTGGAGAATGGCGGAACGATCACGCCCTCTCGGAAGGTCGCCCGAATCACCATACCTGTCACAGCCATGGCAGGCAGCCCCCGCTGCGGCCAGGAGGACTGGTTTGGCACCGCTGCTTTTCATCTCTCTGTCCCAGTAGACCTTGGTAAGGTTATTCTATCAGAGACTACAGCCAGCGAGGCCACTCGAATCTCGGAGCTCGGTGTCTTTCGACAAGGCGGCAGAGACAGAATCAACATCTACATGCCTGAGGCCATGTACTGCACCGCTCGAGAGTACGTTGAGATCATGTCGCAGCACTACTCGACTCCCCAAAGCTGTGAGGTGGTGGACCAAGGGCTCGACTGCCTCTTCAAGACATCAAAGTCATCGCTGGAGAACCTTCACGAACACGGAAAGATCAATGACGACTTCCCCCGGCCGCAGCATCCCATCCCAGCCACATTCGTATTCCCCGACAACCGAAGCTACGTCCTGCGGCTTCAGGCCTCATCTAGGGAGGAGGCTCTTTGTCAGAAAGAGCAGGCCAACCCTTTCCGCACAACCGACCTCCCGTGCGCCCTGCTTCCAGACAACTCGTCCGCCTAGGAGAGGAACGAGCAAGAGAAGTATGGCTTTGTGCCCGATGGTACAATTCAGAAGTACTTGGCCGTGGTCCCGATGTCGCCCGAAACCGCTGGTGCCTTGCCGAAGATTGGAGACGAGTGCAGGATCACCTTTGGGAAGAGCGTACAGACACGCATCCGCGCCATGGGCTCCGTGGATAGCAACGACTCGGTGGCTATATGCAAACATATCGTTGGGGGCTACCGTCGAGCCCAGTCCGGATCTGGAATAGGCCTTGTCGACGTTGGCCAACAAGATGTGGTCAATTCCGACATCTTCCAAGCCGTTCTCGAGACTGTTCTGCCTGAAGATGCCGACGCTCAGTTAACTCAGTACGTCAAGGACATTGTCTCGGCCAGTGCGTCTCACGACAATCAGGCGTTCGTTACGGACTTGGTGGCAAGGGTCAAATACATGCGTCTCCGCCTGCCGAGCGAAGTCGAGCTCAGTGGCAGCAGCTCGTCTTCCTGGCAAGCCATGCGGACCACGCCGCCGGAGGGATCTTCATACCAGAACGCCTACTTTGTCGTTTGGGTCCCTCAGCAGAATGATATTGAGCCTGGAAGGCGCCCGATTCCGGTTAAGGTCACCTTCCCATGGGCGACGACGACGACGACAACGGCGACGACGGCGACGACGGCGACGACGGCGACGGACGACAAGGTCGAGGAGCAATCCATCGAGGACCCAAGGATGGAGCATAGAGTTCTTGGTATTGTCGTCGATGAGTTCGATGCCACAGCCCACATGGAGATGAAGGCAGTGTCGGCAATGGCGACAGCTAGCAAAGGCAGCAATCTTGAAGTCCGGTGGTCCTACGCTCTGCAGTTCAACCCAGCTGTTTTGCCGCAATATCATCCCATGAAATGCGTCAATTTCCACGAACGCTTCCCCGAACTCAAGAATATTCGCTTTCCAGACGACGAAAATCCGCAACACGAGCTTTTGAGTCGTCTCCGGAATGTCCCTGGAGGCATCGCCATGTACACTGGGGGTCCCGGGTCAGGCAAGACTACTTTCGCCGCCCTCATCGCTGCTGCAGTCACCAAAGGTCCCTCAAGAGAACGGGTGGTCTGGACGGTACACAGCAACGAGCTTTGCGACGATGCTCTTCGTTTCTTGAAGGAAAAGTGCGGAAAGGATGTGCGCGTTGGTCGCCTACCCTACTACCGCAGTATGGTAGATGCACTTAGCGACCATCGTCTTGCCAGAGATGGCAACACGGGCACATCCACAATTCGCTGGGGAGATGATGTCTCCAAGCACATCAATTCTTTCCTTTCTCATGCAAGCGACACTAAAGGCGACCTCGACATGATCCGCTCCCCCGACTCAGTTGCATCCAAGGCTATCAACCTAGCCACGCAGCACCCCGACAAGTTCCCCGATTTCTGGAGAGAGATGCCAGGCAACGTTGACTGGCAAAAGGCCTGTCGCCAGATCATAGTCACGGCCATTGACAGCTTCGATGTCCTCGTCGGAACGCCCTTCGCCATGGGACAGCTGAAGGACACCGCCAAGGTAGTGCTTCCCAAACGCCAAGCTGTCGAATGGAAACCTGCACTCGCCATCATTGACGAAGCCGGCCGTATCCCAGAAAGCCAGTGGTGGATTCCTCTGGTATCGTTCCCCGATGCCTTGGTACTGAGTATGGGCGACACCGCTCAGTTCAAGCCCTTGTCTATCAGTACGAACACAGCTTTTGAGCATGCCAGAGGTCGCACGGAATGGCTGTGCGTCTTTGGACAACAGCGCAACCTGTCGATCTTGAAGCGGGCAGAGATGTGCGGGCAGGTTCTTGCTCACCTTTCCAATAATCGCAGGAACCGCGGCGACATTGCTGTGTGGGCGAACAACAACATCTACCCCGGCAAGATGCACATCGTCTACCCTCTCTCAGTCGACCCGAAGGCGCAGATCTACCAGCGTTTTATGCGCTGGATGATGGACCCGAGCCCTAACATGGGATTTTCGAACACTTTGGTGTACGACATCCGCAGCACCCTGTCTATCAAGCACGGCACAGGCTACATCAATATTGGCAACCGCAATTGCGCCCTCTGGATTGCCTACAACGCATTTCAGTACGGCCTGCCGAACCTCCGCACCACAGGAAAACTCGCCGAGATTATGATCCTCACGCCCTACTCAGCTCAGCTCCACGCCTATCGCGATGAGATAGCCAGAATGACATCCTCGGGGATCATAAAGAGCAAGATCACAGTCCGAACTATCGACAACTCGATGAGTGCCGAGGCAGATCTCGTCATCTTCGACTCTGTCCGCGCCAAAGACATCTCGGGCTTTCTCAACGATCGGAATCGCATGGCAGTGGCATCGACCCGTGCTCGCGGCGGAGCCATAATGCTTGCTAATATGGAGGCTCTGGACAGAGAGAAGAGCAGAACCGAGGGCGATGGCACGTTCAATCTGTACGCAAACTTTCACCGGGACCGAAACCTCTCGGTCCTGACCAATAAACCGTGGGGGAAGATCTGCAGGCGCTGCAACAGGCCTTGCCAGGAGAGTGGGCACGTTTGTGCTATCAGAGACCGTCGCTGCCGCTTTTGCAAGAGCGATCAGCATCATGAGCGCTTCTGCCCGCGAGGAAAGCCCGCTCGTGACTATTACTATGATGGCATGCACCCGAAGGGAAAGGAGCCTGACAGGAGATTGTTGTGATGGCGCCTGGGGGTTTCGGAGGAGCTCTATACAAGGCCCGTGGAGCTTGGATTTGTAGAGTAATCAAGAAGATGTTTCCGCGTCCGACGTGGTCAGGAGATAATGCCATAGAATGATATAGAGCAAACAAGGATGGGGCTGCTTGCGAGATCATGACCCTTTGCCATTGAGACCCTGTACTTGTCCTGTGCTTGAGCGACCACTTTTCCCTGCCGTCGTCTTCTCTGCCGTCGTCGTAGTCCACCGTCGTCTTCGTCTACTACTGTCATCCTTGAACGCAGTCTAATTCAGGTGTACCTTGCAGCCGTGCAGACACAGAGAAAGCAGGCGGACCTTTGCCATTTGCACTTTTTCGTAGTTAAAAGGATCATTATGCTTCTTGAACTTGTCAAATTTAGACATGCGCCTGCCTGTCAGAATTACTGTTTCATCACTCATGGGGTACATTCAGTGTTTTGTTTATTCCAAAGCCCGTTTGGCTATTCTTGGGCGTAGTGCTGACGGGTGCAGGTCGGCGATGCTACCTCCAAGTCCTCCGCATATTCGACCCAGATCCCACACCGCTGGGTCGTACGGGGTTGCATCGACAGTGAGACACATTTTTGCAGTCGAAGGGAGAAGTGCCACGACCTCGAAAGTGGCGCGCCGTTGGGAGATGGCAAGTTACTCAACGGCAAGGTGAGGTAAGGTAAGGTACACGCGCAGCTCGTACGATGCCATCGAGCAGAAGGCAGATATGCAAGTGCCCGACTCTTGGGAAAAGGGCGATGGCTGGGCCGCGAGACATGCGCGGGTGAGCAAGCAGAGGGAAAACCCCGCAAGGATTGATGGACATGGACATGCGGGCGGTGGCCGGGATGGGGCCTGGGGGCTGCGCATCACACCGGGCCAGGACCGGGACGGGCGGGACACGACGGGTTCAAGCAAGGGACAGGGGTTGTTGTTGAATGTTTGCTAGCCGGTGGCAGCGGTTGTTGAAGCCACCTACCGTGTTGGGTGAGTTGTTTGCTACGCTTTTGCAGATTGATTTCCAAGGCAGAGATGGTCTTGGCGGTTGGTGACGAGAAATCGCGGACTGCATTGCATTGACTTGCGATGATGGGTGCATGGATTATTGATTTGACCGTATGATTTGAGAGCGACTTTGCGGGCGAAATCGTGCCCTGGGTAGATGTTGGTGGACGAGTCTTTGCAAACGACAGGGATCCGAGAGATTCATCACATCTCGAGAAGATGCCATTGGCGGCGGCAACCGGGGAGCGCTGGGCGGCGGGGTTCGATGTCTGGCTCTGTTCACCTCTTTGGGAGGGCTTGATGGCTCGGCTTCCGGATCTGGATGGGAGGGAGATGTCCCACTCGCTGGTTACTTGGGTGCGTGTTGGGATGTTCCGATGGGCAAACGACGCTATCGACGTCTGGATGTCGCTCATGATCTTCGGGGTGGGCACCGGCGGCGCCAGGAGTAGCCGCGCAGCCGCGGAGGTGAGGGGCTTTCGATTTTGAAAGATTTTTCTCTCTTGTAAGTCGTTGTTGGCGCGGAAAGCAGGGGATTCCGTGTCGGTAGACGGTTTGTGGGCGGCTATGATGGCCTTCTTTACGTATTTGTTCCATCAATGTGGAATACTGTCGACACATCGTCAGTGGTGGCGTTAACGCCTCCGACGCGGTCTTCTAGAAGCCCGTTAGAAAAAGCGAAAGACACATGTTTGGTGTCAGCAATGATTCACCGGATGAACGTGGAACAGACCTTAACCGAGTGTGCAAGCGAACATGATTCCCCTCAATGTTCCGCATACACATCTCGACATTGGGGTCTGCTCACGGGTCGCAGGTCCGGCCTGGTGGAGGCATGAGGTGCAGTGCAGCAGTCAGGTACCGGCCAGTGGGAGAATTGGATCCGGAGGCGTGAAGCCAGATCAGGCGGCCCCCCAAAAGCCCTCGGAGGACTTTGCATGAGATAGCGAATGAGATGAGGCGAGATGAGGAGATGGAGGGCCAAGATGGTCGAGATGGATGGAGGTGACAGCTGAGGAACACTGCGAAAGCTGCGAAGCCGTTTTGGTGGCGGGAGCTTGGGCCGGGAAGGGCAAGCAAGGCAAGCTTTAGTGGATAGAACTCCCAGGTGCGGGCGGCCGGGCCCTGCTCTAGCGCAGCGTCCATGGTGCACAGACACTGAACAAGCAGGGACCACAGCCAATCAGCAGCTTGACATTGCCGCCCGTCAGGGAGCAGGGGACGGGGGAAGGGACCCCACTGGTGCTCTTTCCACCTCGATCCTGCGAATCACATCTGGCAGCCAGCACTTTCCCGCCTTTTGTCGACCCTTTTCTGCCAACTGCACATTGTCCACATTGCCCGTCACAAAGCTATCGTCCGCTGTCATTCGACCGCCATCCAAGAAACTCGGCCTTTTGCAATATGCGGCCGTCCACCATGTGTGCTGGGTCGCGCATCTTCTGCAGGGCCTCGCCTCGCAGTGCGTTGCTGTCCACTGCCCGCTGTTGGTCAATTCCGTTCCGATGTCTCCATCAGCGGTCTGCTTGATGGGCCGGTTCCTCTGCGAGAGAGAGGTGTCCTCCACGACGCCCACGTTTTCCCACTGGCCACTGGCCCAGAAGGATGGAAGAGGGAACCGACAGTTCGTGTCATGTCCTCGCGTGACTGAAGCGACGACTCAGTGTTGAGGAAACGAGAGGACCACTGCTGTCGTCAGCACCGTTGAGCCACGAACGACCACGTACAAGTCACTGCCATTGTTCGACGTTGCCCAGATCACCAACTCCGGATACACAAAAGTCGTCAGCGATTTCCCCGCTTCCAGTTGGCTATTCGGCTGCCTAATGGAGACCAACCGGCATACGACGTCCTCGCAGAAGACCGACTGCCAGTGACGAGGGCCAGAGCCAGCCGCCGTCAGCGATTGCTACCACGGAAATCTTATCTTCGGCTGATCACACCTATGGCGCAAGAACCAACGCCCTCCCGCAGTCGTACCCCGGTCCACATCTTCAATAGTCTCCCTCTGCCGAGCAGACGGCCGTACCACCGTACCTCGACGCACACCTAGCCAAGAGCTTGCAGCTTGCAGTCTGTTCACCTGCATCGCATCCACCCTTCTAGCGCCCACGTCCGGCCTGCATTGTGTGACATCCAGCGGCGGGGAACGACCACAATCGCGACCAGCCAATATTAAAGTACGGTCAGCCGCTGGGCCCGGTACCATTCACATTTCACCACCAGAGCCAACGAAGCCATCGAACCCTCTTCTGGCCGTTGATTGAACGACCACACCCAGGCCGCATCCTCTCGACCCCTCCACATGGCAATTTCGCCGCCTTATCATCCATCGTATACACCACAGATGCCACCACACTCTGATTAGTTGCGCTTCGAGGCCTGCCAGTCACCAACGTGACAGTCCTGTCGACAACTGCCTTCATCACGCCGCCCTCCGTCAGTATCAAGCCACTAGTAGCTCTCCACCTCGGAGCGCCTCCGATCTCACATCCATATATCCCCTGTGGGCTCCCGAACTTGCGGATCGGTTCCTCTTTCCCGCGTTTTTGCCCCGTCCCTCGTTTCGTCGCCTCTGTCGCCTCTCTGTTCCTTGCTTCTACTTGGAGGGATCTGGCATTCCTCGGTCAGCAGCAGCCCCAACGTCACCTGAACACACACGGCACATGGATTGAAACCATCGCGGCTTGGAACAACTCTTAGACAGCCACTACTCGACGACCTCTTCAACTCGCCCCGAAATCCCTAGAGTAGCATCGAATCACCCGCGCCGCATGTCGACAAGAACCTCCGTGTTCTGCGCTTAGCCGCCCTCCCGTTGCTTCATTCAAGCGTCGTCGCTTCGCTGCAATGGCTTCACACTTTCGCAGCGTGGCTAACGCCGCCTCGGATGAGGCGACACGACTCGTCAAACGCATCGCCATCACGCTTACGCCCGACAGCCCACCCGGTCTCATTGAGGCCCTCACGGTAGACCCTTGGAGCAAGTCTGGAAAGTATGGATTGGGGTGGACCTACTTTGCGCTGGCCCTCATGGGTACAGTCCTATTCATGCGGTTCTGGCACTTCTGGCAAGACAAGATCCGCCAAGCCATCTACAAACAGGAGGTGGAGCAGCACTATGCCGACCTTTACAGCACCGATCCCGAATACGCCCACGCATTGAGAACCGGACAGGCACAGCACTTCTTCCCCGAAGGAGAAGGTCTTGGGGAGAAGCAGTTCAAGCCAAAGGCTCACTTCTCCTCCGTCGGATTCGTCAACGATACCTTGGCCCTGTTCCGCTGGGTCTTCTACCGACCCATTCCCGACTTCGTTTGGGGCAGCCACCGATTCACATTCTCCTCGCTCGCCGTCTTGACCTGCGGCTTCATTGCTCTGGCCTTTGTGACACTCTACTGTTTCCTCCAACAGCCACTCTACTGGCAAAGTATCCAGTTCGGCTCACCTCCCGTCGCCATTCGTGCCGGCATGATCGCCGTGGCCCTGACTCCTTGGATCGTCGTGACGAGCATGAAAGCCAACATCATGTCGATGCTCATTGGCATTGGACCTGAGCGCCTCAATGTCTTCCACCGCTGGGCCGGATATCTCTGCCTGTTTCTTTCACTGGTGCACACCGTCCCGTTCTACATCCAACCGGTGTGGGATGATGGCGGTATGGAAGTCTTCTCGCGGCTGTTCGCCGGCGGTAGCGGTGTCATCTACGGCACAGGTATTGCGTGCCTGGTTCCCCTGGTTTGGCTATGCGTTGCGTCCCTCCCATTCATTCGACGCATGGCCTACGAAGTTTTCGTCATGCTTCACGTACCCGTGGGTATGGTGTACGTTGGGCTTTTGTTTTGGCACACCAAGAACTTCCTTGCCTCGTGGGACTACCTCTGGGCAACCATTGCCATTTGGGCGTTCTGCTACTTCCTGCGCCTCTTCAACCTGAACTGGACCAAGCCATGGAGGCTGAGTTTCATGGTGGGTGACGAAGCTGC